GGAGATGGGTGGGGGATGGGATAAATTGGGTGATGGACATTAAGGACATCACTTGTTGGGATGAACACTGGGTATTATATGTAAGTGATGAATCACTAAATTCTCCTAAAATCAATACTACACCGTATGTTAACTAACTTGAATTTAAATAAAATATTGGAAGGGAAAAAAAAGGTTAGTACCCAAAATATATAAACAACTGGCACAACTCAACACCAAACAAACCCCAAATAATCCAATTAAAAAATGGGATGAAGATATGAACAGACATTTCTCCAAAGAAGACATACAGATGGCTAAAAGACACATGAAAAGATGTTCATTATCACTTAAAATCAGGGAAATGCAAATCAAAACTACAATGACATATTAGTTCATACCTGCTAGAATGGCTGAAATCAAAAACATGAGAAACAACAAGTATTGGTGAGGATGTGGAGTAAAAGGAATCCTACTGCACTGTTGGTCAGAATGCAAACTGATGCAGTCACTATGGAAAGCAGTATGGAAGTTCATCAAAAAGTTAAAAATACAACTATCCTATGATCCAGTAATCAATCACACTTCTGGATTTTCTCCCCAAAATGCAAAAAAAAATATTTATTTGAAAGGAAACATGTTTATAGCAGCATTATTTACAATAGCCAAATTATGGAAGCAGCCCAAGTATCCATTGATAGGTGAATGGATAAGGAAGATGTGGTATATTTACACAATGGAATATTACTCGGCTATAAAAAAGAATGAGGTCTTGCCATTTGCAATGACATCGATGGAGCTAGAGAGTATAAAGCTAAGCAAAATAAGTCAGAGACAAATAGCATATGATCTCATTCATATGTGTAATTTAAGAAACAAAACAAAGCAGTAAAGTGAAAAGAGAGAGAGAGAGAGAGAGAGAGAGAGAGAGAGAGAAACAAAAAAACAGGCTCTTAATTATAGAGAAGAAACTGATGACTACCTGAGGGGAGGGTGGGGGAGTAGGTGAAATAGGTGATGGAGATTAAGGAGTGCATTTGTCATGATAAACACTAGGTGATGTGTGGAACTGTGGAATTACTATATTGTATACCAGGATCTAATATAATACTCTATGTTAACTAAAGTAGAATTGAAATAAAATTTTAAAAATATTTATAGAGCACCTACTATATACCAGGTAGCATTTTAGGTACTAGAGATACAGCATATATCTCTATATAAAATAAATAAATAAAACAATAAAACAAAGTCTCTGCTCCCACCAAACTTCCAGACTAGTGGAACGAAAGAAACAGTGACCAAATAAAAATACATTTTGTCCGTGCTATCTGACAAAATAATGCACAAAGAAAAATAATGCATGGTAAGGGAAAGGGGAATTACTGTTTATGTTGGTATGTTCAAGGAATGCTTCTTTGACATGAGTACTTCTGAATAAGATCTGAATGCTGTGATTGACCCAGACATGAAAATATCTTATTTCATTTACCTAAAATTGTCTATATTTCAACTTGCTCTTAAATGATAATCTAATTGGCTATAGAATCCTTTGGCTTCTGTTATTGTTTTCACAAAGTCTTCTATCAGTGAAATTGTTGTTTCTTTGTAAGTAATATGCCTTTTCTATTTTGCTGTTTTTACGATCTTCTTTTTGGTATTCTTCAAATCCACTATGTGTTGGCTTGGGTCTTTTTTATTATATTGAGATTGCAACTCATTATGGTTCTCAAAGCTAGGGATGTATATATTTCAACAATTGTAAGAAACTGTCATCTATTAGTACTTTAAATATCATTTCTCCACATTTTCTCTATTATCTAGCCTTATAATTTTATTAGATTATGCTGAATCTTTTCCTTTTATCCTCCTGTTACTATACTTCTCTTTCATGATTTTTTCATCATTTATTTGTCTGAAATGTGCACTGAACAATTTTTCTTCATATCCATTCTCCAGTTTATTAATCTCTCTTCATTGTTGTCTAATCATGTATATAATGTATCCATTGAGCTTTTATTTTCAATGACTATATTTCTTTTACAGATTATATATTTTATTTTTTAGTATTTATTTATTTATGAGTGAGTGAGTGAGAGAGAGCACGTGCAAGTCAGCGAGGGTCAGAGAAAGGGGGAGAGAGAGAATGCCAAGCAGGCTCTGTGCCACCAGCACAGATCCCAATGTAGAGCTCAAAATCACTAACTGTGAGATCATGACCTGAGCCAAAACCAAGAGTCAGATGTTTAACCAACTGAGCCACCCAGGTATCCCTACAGATTGTTTATTTTATTTACTTAAAAAATTTTTTTTAAACATTTATTTATTTTTGAGACAGAGAGAGACAGAGCATGAATGGGGGAGGGTCAGAGAGAGAGGGAGACACAGAACCTGAAACAGGCTCCAGGCTCTGAGCTGTCAGCACAGAGCTAGATGCCGGGCTCGAACTCACAGACCGCGAGATCATGACCTGAGCTGAAGCCGGCCGCTTAGACTGAGCCACCCAGGTGCCCCATGATTATTTTAAATAAACCTTTTTTTAAATTTGTTTTTTCTTGCTCCTACCCCATAATGTCTGGATTTTATGTTCTTAATCCCTCTTTTGATGCCTTTATCATTTAAATTTTCAAAAACTTTTTAAATTTTTTTTATTTTGAGAGAGAATGAGAGTGAGTGAGAGAACATGAGCAGGGGAGGGGCAGAGAAAGAGAGGGAGAGAAAATCCCAAGCAGGCTCTGCACTGTCAGCACAGAGCCTGATGCGGGGCTCAGTCTCACAAACGGTGAGATTTTGATCTGAGCCTAAATCAAGAATCAGAGGCTTAACAGACTGAGCCACCCAGGTGCCCCCTTTATTATTTTAATTTAGTTCCTTTACAGTATCTATTTGATTGTTATATGAAGTTCTTTGAGGAGGTTTAATTCAGTTATGTTTTATCAGCTGACTCTCACTCATGACCACTTCCTTATGTGTTCTGTGAGCTTATTTTCAGCAAGCATTTATTTGTGGTCATCCTTCCAGGGTGTTTTTGTTTGCTTTTACAAGTCAATATAGAGGTATCCCCACATTGAGGCAAATTCCTATGTTAATTTCTCAGTTTGTAAACTCAAAACCAGGAAAATACTGTGTATTTAATCATCAATGCCATATAAGATTAGGCTTAAGGTTGCTAAATTTCAGTAGAAATGCTTCCCCTAAGCCTCTCTAATTCAGAAACCATGCTTGGATAGACAAGTTTCCTTTTTTGAATTTTCATGTTGTGGACTGGTTTTGTCTACTTCATTTTATTTATCACCCTTTTGCTTAGTTGGAGCCATTCAGGGTCTTGGTTTTATGTGGGAGTCTAGCTCCAGCTTTTACTTGACACAGTACTAGTTTATACCTGTTGTCTTGGTGTAATTTTTGATAAAAACTTTTCTGGCTCTCAAAAGTATCTCAGTTTAGACAATATTTATATAATCTTCTAATCCTTAGTCAAGAATGTACTCGGTATGCTGGAGGAGGAGAAAAGCCAGACTGGCTAATTTGTAAAGGAAAGAATGGTTAGAGAAGAGCTCAGAGAAGAAGGGAAGATGAAGTGCTTTCTAGGTAAGGGAAGGATGTTGAAATTTATTTCAGATGTGATTAAAAGGCATTAAGGGATTTTAAGCCATAGGTTTTTAGGCAGCTCTGGCTGCTTCTTAATTTTACATAGTTATCTAAAAGTATCCCCCATGCCTTGTGTAGTTTAGTGGCCAAATATTTGGCAAGGTTTGCACTCAGATTTGGGGATTCACCATCTCAGTGGTTCTCTTGCTTCCAGGGCTTTCTACTGAATTTTTAGCTTTTTGGCCAGCCTTGGACTCTATCCCCTGAGATATTAAGCCAATGCATTTCGCAATTTCTGTCAATCTTACAAACATTACTCAGAACAGTTTTGTCATCTGTCATTTAGTGGAAGACTTCCCTATGGTTTCAGCCTGAATTTTGTTTTAACAGAGTCCCAGAATCTTACTCATGTGTGTATAGTGTAATGGTCAGCCAAAATTTGGGGCAGAGTATATATGCAGATTTGGGATCCCATCCCTTCTGTCATTCTCTTGGTTCCAAGAGTACCACCCCTAAATTTCCATATTATCAGCTATCTTGAGCCAGTAAACCTGTGGTATCTGCCACAAGAATTCTAGTTTGGGGTGAACACCCATTGCTGCTGCCATCTTTCAAGAGTAAATTTTCTTCAAGTTTTTGTCTGCTTTCAGTTGTGCCCCATTGCTTTTCAATAGGTTCAGCCTCCTTCCCTGCCTCCTTCTCCCCCTATCTCTCTAATATATATGTTCAAATTTTATAATAGTTACAAGAAAGTATAACAAACAATTTGGTCTGCTATTACCAAAAGCTGAAACATTTATTGTTATTTTAAATTGTGTTTAGATTAAGAACAACTTTGAAACTTTTTTCATGTTTATTAGCAATTTTATCCATTTTATTAATTTTCAGTAATGTAATTTACCAATTTGTCTATTTGTCTATTTGTTTTGATCTTATTTATAGGTAAGAGTTCCTTATTTATTGAAGATCATAATATATGAACTCATCAGATGTTTTGTGAGACTCAAATGTGTTTTAAAATTTAAGGTTTTGCTTTTATGGTGGTTTTATATTGGCCTTTAAAGTTCATATGGGATCATTTAATAGACAAGGCAAAGAGTTTGTTCTTATTAGAGATGCCAGTGCATAGAGAAAGAAACTCTTGCCTTTCCATAAGGCAAAGTCTTGTGGTCAGCTTGTATGATGTGCAGGGCAGTGTTGGCAGTCACCTTTCTAAGAAAATATTGTCAGATGTATTATTTTCATACTTATGGATCACCATACATTATTTTTCAATCATGATCATTTGCCATACTTACCAGTAAGTACTATAAATAGACTGCTGCTTCTGTGCATTGGAAGAAATCTTGCAAAGTGATTAATGCTCGCTAAGGGCACTGTGGGTTGTCACCAGAACTATGTTCAAACATTGTCCTCTCTCTTTTTGTCCCTAGGAGTACACCATTGATGTATTTTTTCGACAGACATGGCATGATGAAAGACTTAAATTTGATGGACCCATGAAAATCCTTCCACTGAACAATCTCCTGGCTAGTAAGATCTGGACACCTGACACCTTCTTTCACAATGGCAAGAAATCAGTAGCCCATAACATGACCACACCTAACAAGCTGCTCAGACTGGTGGACAATGGAACGCTCCTCTACACAATGAGGTTAGAGAGTGGTGCCCCCCCATCTAAAGTATACTGGGGGTAGGACTGGGCTTGAAAGTAGCATGTTTTAAGCTATCCATAAAAGTCTATCAAGTTTACATATTATAAGTGCACATATAGGTATATACTTAACATATTTGCAGGTATACACATTCACAGACATATATATTATAGATACACATATAAATGCAGTTGGACATATGAACATTCTCATATACAGATATATGTTCATGATATATAAATGTATGCATACTCAGAGACACGTGGATTAACACATAAGCATATACATTCAAGGACACTTAAATACACAAACTCATAGCCATATATACAGGCAGAACACTGTGACAGTCATAAGGGACTGTTTAATTGCAGCAACAAACTTCCCCTATGATGCAGAATTGTGAGAATCAAATGAGATAATGATGGATATTTTCTGAACCATACAATGTTATAGATAATATATACACAAAATTATAGCAACACATATTTTATCCCACATTGCCTGGGAATGCTGAGGAGTTTGATGCAAATGAGGTTTTCAAACAAGAATGTTTCTTTTAAATATCATTTATATACTTATACATATATATGTATATATACTTATATGTATATGTATGTATAAGCTTATACTTATATATATGTATATGTATATCCTTATATGTAATATATACTTATTACATATATATACTTATATATACTTATATGTATGAGCTCATACATATACATATAAGTATATATACATGTATATTTATAAGTATATATACACATATATATGTATAAGTATATATATACACATATATACGTATATATATAAATATGTATAAGTCCATATAATGTACGTATATACATATATATGTATAATTTTGCGTTCAAAAAGAATGACTTTAAAAACATTTTCAGTTCCATAATCTTTGACCCAACACTAAAGAACTTTCTTGATTCTTGTTTTATGTTTTTGCTACCTCCTGTGCTATCAGTTGTTCTGTAGCTCCCTCCCACTTTAATGAGTTTCAGTTTTAAGTAACTGAATTAACATTATTGAATGGAAAAATGTGATCCTTCAGTGCAGATTCTGTGGCTGTTTTTAAATTTGAGTATTTGTTATTTTGTACAATAAAACTGAAATAATACAGGCCTGGTAAACATGTAATGAATACACAAAGTATCCTTGCCCATATGCTAGTCCTTAGTTACTTCAAATTTGCTATTTATTGTTTCTCCTGAAAAAATTTGATAGCTAAGATATAGGCAAAGAAGAATGGATAGCAAATGGATAATTAAGAGAAAAGTTGAATTAAAGAGGAGGAGCTGAGACACTAGAGGAGAGATGAGAATAGAAGTGAGAATGATGGAGAAAAGAAAGAAGGAAAGTGGACATAAAAGGGGAAAAGATGGGGCGCCTCGGTGGCGCAGTCAGTTAAGCGTCCGACTTCAGCCAGGTCACAATCTCGCGGTCCGTGAGTTCGAGCCCCGCCTCAGGCTCTGGGCTGATGGCTCAGAGCCTGGAGCCTGTTTCCGATTCTGTGTCTCCCTCTCTCTCTGCCCCTCCCCCATTCGTGCTCTGTCTCTCTCTGTCCCAAAAATAAATAAATGTTGAAAAAAAAATTTAAAAAAAAAAGGGAAAAAGAAGGTGGAGAGAGGAAGGGAAGTATAATCCAGAAGAAAGGTCAATAAAATTAGCATATATATTTTATTGATCTCTTCCCATAGCTTATATATTTACATATATGTTGTATATATGTTTATATGTGTATGTTGCTCCTGGTTATTAGTATTAACATTCATTTTTGTACTATTAGAATGTAGTGAAGAAAATTGTTGGTATAAAGTGAAAGAAAGAGAGGAAGGACATTGTATACAGAGAAAACCAAGTAAGCAGTTACAGGAAATGGAATGGTTTCTTTCAACAAAAGCAAGATAATGAGGTGGTCAGTTTTTAATTTTATATATGGCACTCTAGTTACTGTGTAAAGGATGTATTTGAAGAAAACAAAACTGGAATTAGGGAAAATGGTTAGTAGATAGCTTAAATAGTCTAGGCAAATGGTAGTGAAATTCTAATTCAGAGCAGCTGATTAAGATGGAGAAGGAGAAATACACTGAAGAAATAGTAAAAATGGCCAATGTTAGAATGACGGGGGGGCAGGAGTCAAGGTAGTAAATACCCAAATAACATGGGTGAATGATGGTGCTACAAAATAGGGCAGATCATATAAAACAGGAGAAATTTAGATAGGAAAATCTTTAAGGTTAATTTTGGGCAAGATAAGATTTAAAAGATTGTAGATTATCCAGGGACAAGGGTATAATAGTAGTTAGATATACAAATCTTAAGATTAAAAGACAGATACAAGCTAGAGATGTGAATTTTGGTATTGTCAGCATATTGGGACAACCATGTGAATGGATGTGCTCACTTTAGGAAAGTATGCAGAGTGAGAAAATCATACTAAGGATCAAATCATGTAGCATCATTATTACAACAGAAGTGGAGAAAGAGGAACCTATGAAGGACCAAGAAGAAAAAGTAAGGAAGGTGTTAATAGAACTCCCAGTGTACAGTATCTTGAAATCTAAGTGTGATAGTCAGTACTGCTACTTTCAGTATTTCCAACTCAAGTCCTTCTGGGTACATGGTAGTATTTACTTCCATATAGCCTTGCAGTTGGGCATGTATAGGTGACTTTGACTAACCAAATGTGACTGGAAATAACATGTGTCATTTCTGAGGGAGGTTGGGAAACTTTTAAGAGCAGTACATAATTTTCCATGTTCCTCTCCCCTGGCCACAGTGAGTAGCATTATGCCAGGTGGCCTTGACTCTATCATTCTGTGTCCCTTATTGAAGATGTTATAGAAGAGAATGCCCCTCCCCACAACCTGAGATAGACATGTAGTGTGAGTGAGAAATAAATCTCTGTTGTTTTAGGACGCTCAAATTTTAGCATTTGTTGTTACTGCATGTTAATCTAACCTATTTTGACTGATATATCAAAGGAGTAAAGGGCTTCAAAAAAGAAGACAGTGATCAATAATAATAACATCAGTAACAGCTAAGTATAAACGTTAACATCAGTATAGTATTTATAATGTGCTATGGACAGTTCTTATCACTCCACTTTTATAAACTAATGACTTTGTAAGATAGGTACTATTATTTCCACTTTACAGTTGAGGAAATTGAGACAAGAGTGGGTAAGAAAAATTTTAGGATCACCTAGGGAGGAAATGGTTGATCCATCATTCATACTCTGGCAGTTTTGCTGCAAGTTCATCCTCTTTACTATTATTTATACATTTTTACAACATTTTTGATTATTACAAAGAGATCAAGAATATAGAGAATTAAATGTATTAGGTTTGGCAACATAGAAGACATTGGCATTCTTCACATACACTGTTTCAATGTATTATTTAGTGTACTAGTGAGTTTTTAGGAGTTGGCATAGAAGTAGTGAAGATAGTAAATAAAGAAAATACTTTTTGGGAGCTTGTTTGAAAATGAAAGATACATTTGGGGCAAAATAAACAGTTGCTTTTTTAAATGTAGAGACTTGCACTTATTTGTGAGATAGCAGAAAGTGGACATCGGAAAGACAAAGACTGAAGATATGGTAGAAATGGGACATTTCATAGGACAGAGTAGAAATATGAACAGTTATAATGTATGAAGGAGAATTTGGAGAGAATAGAGCATAAGTGCAGAAATATGAGTGACATACTTGTAACAAAGTGCATAAAAGAGAAGGGTTTGAAGAAGAGATGAGAGTGTATACAATTGTGGAGAGAATGAAGCAGACTATATATTAACAGAGGAGGGGATTGTGGAATGAGGTAGTTGGAGAGATGGATGAGGATGATGAGATGTGGATGGGTAAAAATCCATAAGAAAATGAAGAGCAAGTGAGGGGCAGAAGAGGAAATCAACACATTGAGATTGAAGAGAAAGAATAGAGAACGAATGAAGAGAACAGGATAATGGAGAAAGTGAATAATAAAAGAAAATAGAATCGAATATAGGTTTGAGTTTTGGAGGCATGATAGAAAAAAAGAAGAAAAGACAGGGAAAGATGGGAATGTTGAAATATGAAGAAGATAGAAATATGATGAAATATGAAGATTGAGGAGGGCAGCAGATGAAATAGACCAGAGGATTAGTCACCAGAAAATAAAGTTAGATGAATGGGAAGAAGATGACCATTAATTCATTCATCCCAGTCTGAACTGAACAAGAAAGTGGAGTTTGATAAAATAGGAATCTATGTGTAATGCCTGTGTGTTTATTCTGAAGTATAGAATAAAGGAAGTATAGCAGTTCAGAAGCATAAGGCCATTGGTTATCTTACATAGTAAATGATTCACCTTGGACCCAGGAGGATGGGTCTGGAGGGAGACCTATGTTCAAAACTGAAAATAGTAAAGCTTGGCTCTATGGCTCCACAATTTATTCATCTAGTGACCTTTTGCAAGACACAAACTATCTGCTTTCTCATTCTGATGATAATGTAGCTGCTGCCTGTCTTGCAGACATATGAAAAGCATAAATTAGATAAGGGTAAAAGAACACTTATAATTTTTCAGGAAGTGTTATTCTACATTATTATTATTATTGTTATTGTTATCATTATTATTTTGACCCTTGGAAATCTTATCCCAATTCTATGGAAAACTACAGAGGGTCAGCGTTAGAAAATCTCACCAAAGATTTCCTAGTTATGTAACTAGGGCAGTTTAGAATGAAACCTTCATCTTGAGACCTCAGGACAACCATAAAAATGCAGGTCAAAGCACATTACCTGCTGCTTTCTTCAGCAGCACACATACTAAAATTAAAACAGTACAGAGAAGACAAACAGAGCCCAGATCAGGATGATACATACGTTTGTGAAGTATTTTCCATTTTTTAGACATAGATATATAGGATATTTCATTTCTATTAATGACATTTATTGAGGCAGATATGGATAAACATGTTCGTTGTATTGTTCTTTATACCTATTATGTGTAAATGTTGCATAATACATAATGCAGTAAAAGCAAGTTCCACTGATTATTTGAGTAGGAGGGACAAGTACCTATTGAATTTAACTAGATTTATTCCCATTGACCTGAATCATGCATTCAACACATTTATGAGTACTTATTATGTTTAAGGCTTTGAGACATGTGCTGAGCTACAAAGATAAATAATACACATCTCATGCTCATAATGACCTTACAGTCTAGTAATTAAAGCAGACATTGTGTACAGATAGCTGCAAAATAATGTAAAAGCCCTTAAACCAAAGGAGGTGTGAAATGTGATAGAATCATAGGGTGAGGAATATCCAAAATCATGTGGAGGCATCAAGGAAAGTTGTAAAAAGGAGCCAATTAATCCTGTGTCTTGAATCTTGAAGGAGGTATAGGTAACTATCAAACAGGTGAGAGATGAGGCGAGCTATAGGAGGGTATTCCAGGCAAAGGCAATAGCATGCATAAAGATAGGTATTAATGAATTGACATCATGCATCAGAAAATCCATGTCTTTCTTTAGAACTTTCATTTATTTATTCTTCCAAAATTACTTCTAGGAGGCTTAATGAGACTCAAACAATATTCTGGGCACTAGGGATAAAGTGGTAAGCAAAAATAGATGAGGTCTCTGCCCTCATATAACTTACATTCTAGTGGGTGAAACAATTAAACCATAATGATAACAGAATAAGTGCTGTGATCAGGGAAGTACAGAATGCTATAGAAACATTTAGCAGGGACAATGAAGTGAGTCTGTGGGGAATATCTACAATGAATTTTAGAGGAAATCACTTTTAAACTGAGACTTAAAAGATATGTAGAAATAAATTAGACTAAAAGATAGGGAGGGAATGTTCCAGAGAGAGTATGGCCAGTATGAAGTCCAGGAGAATGAGGTGGGGGAAGTAGTAATGATACACTAAAGAAGTGAAAAGAAATTCAGTATGACTGGACCATAGAGTAATGTGCAGAGTATTGGAGTGGAGAGTATGAGCTACATTGGCATAAAAATAATAGGAGGCCATTAAAGAGTTTATTGCAAGGGAATGGCACAGATTTGCATTTTAGACACATCAGTCTGGGAACAATGGTGGAAGGTAGATGGGAAGAAGGCAAGGATGAAGATAAGCTATACATATGAGCTATAATACTCTAACAATAATATTAATAACAACTATTTTGTGTTGAACACATACTATGTTCCACTTTATGTAAAATATCTGTAATATTCACAAAAACTGTTCAATATAGGCATTATTATCCCTATTGAACTGATCCAGTAAGTGAAGCTTGAAAAATAAAAATGACTTGCCCAAGATGATGCACTTATTAGGCAAATGCAGGTCTGTCTCAAGCTATTGCTTTTTGCACTAAAAAGGTTTTGAAGAAGAATATAGATATACAATATGTAGCATTGGTGGTATTTGGTACCTGATTGGAAGTTGGTGAGGGTCAGGATGTTGTATGAGTGCTACTAACGAGTAAAGAAGTCTCCCTGGATAATGAAAGTACTAAGGGTTAGAAAAAATAATAATCCAAGTATTAACATTTCTATTGAATGTGGAGAAATAAATAAGTTTTTGGAAAATGGCAGTGATAAGGAGGGGTAGTGGTAAATATAGCCAAATAGCATACCTATTTGGAAGGATTTCTGCATAATAGATGAGGGATAATAATCTGGAAGTGATACAGAATATATTCATCCTGTACTTATAGGGAAGCATTATTGATTTTTTTAAAAAAATGGAGTAGCATAATCAGATCATTTGTGTTACAATTTGCTGAACTCAAAAATGTACAATAGTTTAAACCTGATGGAAGTGTATTTCTTGTTCCTTAAATTCTAAATTATAAATTATAAAGCAGGTGTTCCTCATTGGCAAGTGGCTCATTCCTAAGTAGTGTTTCAGGGACCCAAGCTCCTTTCATCTGGTGTCTGCCATATTCAATACATGGTTTCCAAGACCACTGTGCTTCTCTGTATCAAGTAAGTAGAAGATGAAAAAGCATTCAGGACTGTATGTGGGTAGTGTTTAAAATCTGGGTCTTGAGTGGCATACTTATTTCTACTGATAGTTCTTTGGCTAGAGTGAGGTCGCATGGACATGCCTAACTGCAAGGGAGGCTGAGAAAAGCAACACTGCTATGTTCCCAAGTAAAAGTGAGAATGGATTTGGTGAATGGCTGAAGTTCTCTGCCAATTCCAGAGGGGTTTTTTTTATTATTATTAAAATGTAAGGTTGCACTCTGGAGAATCAGTTGGAAGCAGGGATACCAGTTAGTTGACCATTTTGTAATCCAGGAAAGACTATTCAGGGATGAAGCAAAGGCAGCAAAAAGTAAGAGTGGAGAAGAAAGTAGAGGCTTTCAAAAGAACTTGGTGTCCAATTAGATATGGGGTAATGAGGAAGAAGGAATATTGAGAATGTCCCTTACATATTTTCTCTGGATACTGAGAAGATTGTGGTGCTATTATTTTATTTTTAAAAGCAATGTAGAAGCAGCAGATATTTTATAGAGAGGAAAGTGTGTTTAGAGAATCTACACTTATTTAGGATTTTCTATATGCCAGGTGATGTGTTAGGTGCTTCACACATATTTATCTCATTTCTCATGGCAGTGATTGTGCATTGTGCAATGTATGCAACATTGTGATTAAGAAGGTAGGTTCTGCATTAAGACTACTTCTGGTCCTTCATCTGTAAAATATAGTGAATCATAACAATGCCTGTCTCATAAGGCTATTGTGTGGAGTAAATACGATATAAGCCTTATGAATTGCTTGATATATCCTGGCACATGTCCACTTTGGAGGTTTTTATTTTCATAATCCCACTTTTTTGATTAATAAACTGAACTGAGCCAAAGTCATACCACTAGTAAGTGGCAGAACTTGTACAGAAACCCAAGTCACTTTTAGGTTAAAGCAAACACTTTTCCCTTTACTACATCCCACCACTTCCTCTAAGAAGGGAACGTAGGGGATATAAAGTTTAAGTATAATGAGTCTGAGGTGGACATGACAAGCTGCAGTTGGAAATTCAGCTCTGAAGCTCAGAACTTTGACACAATGAAATTTTATAAAATTGAATACATTGCACAAAGTATATTTTTGTGTTAAGCTACACAGTAATAGTATCTCACATTTAGCTGAAAATTAAAGAAAATAAGAACTCACTTCTCCATAATGTATCATTGACAAGAAAGGAGCATTTTTTGAAGCAATTAAAAGAGGCTTACTGTCATATTCAGAGCTTCATTGCTTCCTTTATTCTTTCATTGTATGATTGGGTCAGTTTTGCTTATTTACTTGGGATGTTCCAAAGACAGATTATTTCAAAGATAAATTGTGAAAATGTTAACAGTAAAGCTAGTCTCTTCCTAGTTTAGATGCAAATAGCTTGCACAGGAGTCTTTATAATAGAGATTGCCTCTGAAATGGTCAGGAACCAGGGAGGGCATTTGGGTCACATTGTTAGCTGTATAGGATTTAATGTAATCAAATCAACTAGGCACTGATAGCTTTGTTTCACAGTTCTTTTTTGTAATGGATTTTGCTCTAGGGGATTCCACCTGTAGTTCCTCTTTCATTAAACTAGAAACTGAGTCACAGAACCCCAGTTAGTAAGCCTCACTCTAATGAACAGACGTAAGAGCATAGAAGATGTAGAGTGACTCATTTTGGGCTCCGAGAAAGCTTACAATGAGGTGAGAAGCAAGTAATAGTACAAGTCCCCAGTTACACATACACAAAATTATGCTGTGTATTCTATATGGTGATATCAACCCCTACCCTTGAAGAGCTCATATCCTAGCAGGAAAGATAGGACACATCATTCACTGTACTATCAGGCATAATGGAATTTTCACAAAAAGCCAACAATGAAGTGCTGTGAACTAAAAAGTACAGGTTTCATTATGAATTGGAAGCATGGGTCCAGATATGAAAGGGCTTTATAGGAGAACTGGCATTGAGCTGGAAGGAAGAAAGGAAGAATGTATTCCCAAGTGGTCAGATTCAAGAGGAAAATCAGGGTCTTGAAATAACAAGAATTGCCTTTACTCTCAAAGGCAAGAAGCTGATATCCAGACAGATTGAGTCTGTTTAAAAAACTCATTCTAACACAAGGGTGGGACTGATTCACAGATCACCAGAAGATTCTCTGTAGTTCTAAAGAACCAAGCCATTTTATATTACATTTTATTATTTTATTTTAGATGCTACTCCTAGATAGAGTGAAGACTGCATGTTATAATGAAATAAACTTTAGAGTAGGAATTAAGACTCTGGGTAAGAGTCCCAACTTTGGCCCACATCAGCATGTAACCATAGACAAAGCATTTCTCCTCTGTGGGCCGCAGTTTCTTTTGGGAAACAGGGTTGAAAAGAATTACTCTGTCTTGCAGAAATATTTATTAAGTCAAGAATTTATTGCCTATCTCTTATGGGCCAACAACCATAGTAGGGCTAGGATTACTTACAATGATAGAGTCTCTTCTCTTAAGTTACTCACAGGCCTGTTCAGAAGACAGACACATAAACAGATCATGATAATTTTATGTGCTGTTAAAAATTATTAAAGAAAACACCTTAGGTAATAATAACAAACTTTATTTCACTTCATGAAGTAGACAGTCTCCTACTGCAAAATTGGAAAATGTGGCAGAAGATAGAAAGCTTTCATATGATAAAGAATAAAGAACTAGGAAGAGAAAAATAGAAAATATCTGATTGGGTGAGACCACATAGTCAACCTTGTTTGGGATAAAAAAGGCCCAGAGTTGGCTTGGCATTTGGGGCTTGGCTGAGTGGCTATACAGTGTTTCTGGCCAAGTAGAATATTTACAGGAACACAAAAGTTATCTAAGTTTCAGTTTGTTGACATGG